GCTTTAGTGACATAATTTTTCAAAAAAAGACACATTTATCTCTTTATTCATTGAATTGGTACAATTTTAAAATTCAAACACAGTAATTATGTTTGACAAACACTTACCCTATTACACCATGTGTTTTGCGTAATAGCATATTTTAGAAACACGAGTGCGTGACTGCAAACGCATTCTACTTATACATATTACATGCGTTACATAGTATTTAGGATAAATTTTTTCTAAATCCTTACATATTGTTTCCCATATCTCGACAGAACACACAGCTCGCCAGGATAATGTCCATCGCCTAAAAAAAGATATATCACCACCATGATTCACCAAGATAGTGCCCATTGCCTAAAAGAGACACATCACCACCATGGCCTGATAGGATAATATCCCTCACCTAAAAAGAACATGTGATCAGCATAGCTCAGCAAAGTACCATCTCTCACCTAAAAGGGACATGTCATCAACATGGCTTACCGAGACAACGTCCTTTGTCTAAAAAGGACACGACATTAGCATGGCTTGTTAAGATATTATCCTTCGCCCCACATGGACACATCATTACCATGGCTCATCCAAATAGTGTTTTGTGCATAACAAAAATGCACCGTTAATATGTCAACTTTTGCCAAAGATCTGAGGGCTATTACTTTATAACCCTTTTAGACCTAGGAAAAATTATTGTACTTATCTACTCAGTTAACAAGATCAATTCTCATAATTGCCATGTCAATACATGCCTGACTACCATATCACCACAAGAGAGGGTCAACATCTAAACTCCTCACAACAAATAATCTTGCATTTGCCAAGAAAAGACTTGCCCAACTACCTCTACTAATGTCTCATCATGACTACTTCACAACAGACTAATGGGCTCCAACTTGCCTGGAATAATTAAATGCTACTCATGCTGGCCTGAAATCATTAAATGCAACTCACATTTACCCACATGACCTTTTCTCGAGCTTCACATGGACTTACTATCAATGGTCAACTGCTTTGGTCATGTTATTGTCCTTCCTCTCATATATAAGATAAAAAGAAAGCTCATATGAGGTATGAACTAAAAATCATTCCCTTTTAAGCTTATTGAATACTCTTTATAGTTTAGTTTTTACTTTACCTAAACCCTAAGTATTTGATTGACTTGAGCATCAAATGCATATCGAAGAATCAACTTCGGTGCCTTCTAACTGTACGTTTTTATTGTAAGTTCAGATCACCCTTTATATAATCTTCAAGTTACCTTTCCTCCTACCAACACTTAAAACACCTTCAATAATCTTACAAAAAATTGTATTCAATGTCTAGTTGAAAAGATCCTAACTAAAATTTTTATTTATTGTAGTTTGGTAGCTAGACTTTTCAAGCTTAAAGCTATATTAGCAATTCTGAGTAAGACTTGAGAGTAACATTTATTACAAAAACATTTTCCATTTCTTTTAATTATGCTCAAATTAGTGTTGGGATTGACTCAAATCTCATAAAAGATTTGGATAGACATATATTTGAGATAGGATTGGTTAGATATTACTTGATGGATAAAAAAACTTGAAAAAAAAGAATTTTAATAGAAAAGAGTTTCCTGATAGAAAAGTCTGTATGGTTATAAATAAGTGGAGTCTCTATAGGGTTAGGTGTGAGAAAAATATGTATGAGAGTTGTAGAGTTTTATAGGATAAACACCTCATAGGATTAGAGGAGAGTGAGAAAGTTTTTATGGGTGTGTATGTTTAAGTGGACTACATAAGAATGAAATGGTTTACATAAGTATGGTGAATCACATAAATACATGCTTGTTTAAGTTAAAAAATACTTCATAGGACTAGAGAAGAATCAAAGATCTATGAGTATTGTTTGGTATTGATTGTTGATGATTTGAATGTTGTAATTCTCTATGACTAATGAATTTTGTTTTTCATCCATGGATGTAGATAGGTTCAGTTAAACCACATTAAATTGTCATCTCTTGTATGATTGATTAATTTTTTTGATTTTATTTTCATTGGCTTGGATGTTTAATTGGATTGGAGGCTTTTTTTCCTAACAATTGGTATCAAAACTGTCATGATCCTAACAACTAATTTTAGAACGTAGATTTGAGATATGAGAAAATACAAGCTCAGAGGAGCTCGAAGGGAGTTTAGGTTCATGTTTTGATAGATCAGTTTGCATAAAGCTTGGAGACACATAGAGAAAATTGTTACAAGACTTTCATTAAAGGTGAAGCCAAGCATGTATAAGATGAAAATTGATTATTGATGGAATTTGAATCAAGGTTAAGATTGTTGGGATTGACTTAAATACCATAAGAGATTTGGATAGAGATTTATTCGAAATAGGATTGGCTAAATATTGCTTGATAGATAAGAAAACTTGTAAAAGAAGAATTTTAATAAGAAAACAATTCTTTATAGGTAAGTTTGTGTACTTATAAATAGGTAAAGTCTTCATAAAGTTAAGTATGAGAAAAATATGTAAGAAAGTTGTAGGGTTTTATGAGATAGACACCACATAAAACTAGAGGAGATTGAGAAAGTCCTTATAGGTGTGAATGTTTGAATGAACTAGAAAAGAATGAAACGGTCCACATAGGTATGGTCAGTCATATGAGTATTTATTTATTTTGGTTGAAAATACTTCATAGAACTAGAGGAAAATGAAATGTTCCATGAGTATTATTTGGGATTAAATGTTGATGATTTGTATATTATAATTTTTTACAACTAGTGAATCTTTTTTTTATCCATGAACAAAGGTTGATTGGTTGAATTACGTTAAATTGTTATCTTTTATATAATTGATTGATTGTTTGATTTTGTTTTTGTTGAACTTGATGTTTAGTTGGATTGGAGGCTTTTTTGCCTACAATTGATATAAAAAATGTCATGATCCTAATAGTCAGGAGTCAAATGCATGATCAAAATGATTTTGCTATTTTAATCTTAGAAATCTAGATCATTATTAGACTTCATTGTTATTTATAATCATAAATAGATTTATCATGAATTGAGCTACTCATTTAAACTCACGAATTGAGCCTGACGATAATGGACCATGAACAAAATTTTAAAGTTAACTTGAATTATTATTTTATTAATAATTTTAATATTTTAATATTGTTTCGACGTACCTCACAAATTCGAATGAGTAAACTGAGTTAAATTTAATCGAGCCAAACTTTAAACAAAACCAGGAAAGTGTCAATCAAGATTGGTTCAGTCTGATCTATCAACACTTGGACTTATAAATGATCAAACGAGTAGATGCAATACAATTTACTTAAGAAAATAGATACAAAAGTAAATAATAATAAAAAAAAAAAACGTTTGAATTCTCTTTTGATATATTAGAGTATGGAAAAAAAAAGTTGGGTTTAAGCTATGCGTAAGGGCTAATCTCATGAGTCTACCGACAAGATTTAAATACTATATATTGGTTAGTCAATTCTTTCTTTGTTCTTTCCCAAAAAAAAACCAAAATTTGTCCTCTTGGGATGTGGAAATCACAGGACATGTTTCGTGCATGGTAAGCAGTTTGAAGAAGTCAAGATTAATTTTTTTTTAACTTGTAATTTAAGTTTGAATTATTACTGATAATTGACATGGTGGTTTTTTTTTTTTTTTGGCCAGTAATTATCATGGTGTTATAGCTAACATATAGTAGTATATAGTTCATATTTCAAAACAATGATAACTAATATAATCTAAACATAAAAATTTATGTTGATAAATTCATTTACATCATCTATAATTCCATCGATCTTACTTCAATTTCATTGAATTTTATAACTAATTCAAGTCATAAATTAGCTCATTCACCTATGAATTAATGTTTCAACATAGGAATTAGTTTAAATGTTACAATCAGAAGTACTCAATTTGTTCTTAACTAACAATTATTATATAAATACATATACATATATATATATATACAAATACATATATATGTGTGTGTATATATAAATATGTTTGTATAGAAAAAATAACGTTTTATAAAAATCAAGAAAAATTATGAGTAGAGATATCCATGAATCAGATCTTACCACAAGCTTTATGTATTCTGAAACCAAAAATTAATTTCGTTTAAAAATGAAGGTTCCATTTGATAAGCCCTTCTATTTTTTTTCTTTTTACAAAAAAAAAAAAATGAAAGAAAAGAAAAAAAAAATTAAAACTTAAATAAAAAGCCAAAAACAAATAGTAAAGAAAAAAAGTGTTTGCCAAACGAATCTAAGCAAGTCGTTAAACACACATATTTCAAAGAAGGAAAGCGACAAGTTGGTTAAAAAAAATCAGTATATTAAAACCAGTCCATATTGTGGAAAACGTCCACACGTACTATTTATTACTGACGAATCGATCAATTGACCATGCTGCCTACAGCCATTGTTTCCCTTCAGCTTCTTAATTCTCTGAGTGATAAGGAAAGAAACTTATTACTAAAATTAATCGTTCTATCAACTAATGAGAAGTTGATAAGTAAATTTCATTGATTGCAGTGTAGTAGGGTCTTCAAGCTGGAAGCAACCTTGCAAATGGGTTTGAGACTTGATCAGAGCAACATTTATGATGCGAACATCTTCCAATGGCTGTCATTATTGGATATTTATTGTTTTCTACACTCACATAAATTCAACAAACTAAATGCTCTATAATTTACTTGAGAAATTTATGTATATAAAATTAAATAAAAATAAGAAATATATATTTTAAAATTATTTTAAAAAGTAAGTAACAAAAAAATAACTAAAATAATTAATTGAATAATAAAAAATTTTTTTTACAAAGTTGCCTAAAATTGTAGATTAATTTTTTAAAGATTGTGTTACATATGTAATTTGTAAGTAATTAATTTTCATATATTTATTTTTCATATTTAATAAAATTATATTAATATCAATATATCTAATACTAAAACATATAAGAAACAAAGATATTTAAATAAATAATTATTATTTAATATAATATAATTTAAAGTATGTCAAACGTGACAAGGCTTGGATGGGCTGCCTATATAAAGCCATTGGATCCTTCACTTTCTTTCACTCATCAAATTCAATTACTCAAAATAATTATCATAACCTTGTCGATAACTTTGATCAAGGACTGGACGAATTGCGCAAACTAGCGGAAGCTTATTATCTGGCAGGGCCCGATTCTGTTAGGAATTCAGCCGAAGAGTTTTTCTCGGAAATGGATGATGATGGCGATGGCTACATTAGCAGGAACGAGTTCCAGGAATTCATGAGGCAAATTGGTGATACAAAAATGACATCAAGCCCGGTGTTTTGGCAGCTAAGCAGCAGGGGAGACGAAAAGCTGGATTTCATGGACATTATGACTCTCTACTATGTCATGAAAAGTGGAAGGCCTTTCTGTGATGGTACTCATTGCGGTGGTGATTTGATGCGTGGCGCTTACTTCGCTTGCAGGCAGTGTTTCTATAGCTCCAAGAGTTTTTGTCTTTGCCCTGAGTGTTTCATGAATAAGAAACATACTCATGATCCAAGTCACCAATTCCTGGATAACTTCACTTTGCTTGAAGTCAAGAGACAGGAAGCTGTATTACGTGAGGCAGAAGCTTCAAATCAGCAGGTAACTTAGCTACTAATCCCTTGTCGACCAGCTGAATTTTTTCAACCATTAATACACTTAATGATCACTTTTCAGGCTTCATCTGTGAATATTGGTATATATGAACGTCAGGAAAATGACAATGAACAAATTGCAGGCTCAAGCTCTTCTGCTTCAAATCCAGCCCTGCCTCCTTCCTCGCTTGCACTGGTTCCGATTGCAAGGAGGGTACCGACTTCATCTCTTTTTCCTGCCTACCTCTGTCACAATTACCATATAGATATACGTATATATACATATATACATATACACATATATACATATATGTCCGTATGTATATGTATATGTACATGTACATGTTTTTATCTATGTATCACGTGTTGATAGAATGATCCGAGTGATAAAATCAAGTGATGCATAACTCGCTAATTAAATAAAAAATAGTACAGATATTTATGAGCTAACTCAAAAACTAAATAATCTCCTACGAAAAATAAAAATAAAGGAAAAATAGCATAAGAAAATTAAAGGTAAAGCAAAAATAACTAGCCTGCCTCTACGAATCATTTATCTCTTAGGATTCTAACTCCGTGTTTGGTAGGATGGAAAGAGGGAGGTAGGAAAAACTTTTTTTTTTTTTCATCCCTTAATTTCTTCATTTGTTGAAGAGAAATAAAAGCATTAATGAGATTGGTTGAGTTAGTAAAGATTGAATATTTTATTTGTAAAATTTAAGTTTTAATCTTATTATCAATATTTATTTTTGGTGGATGATTTATAAATTTAATATAAATTTTTGATGAGACATGATAAGCTCTCATTCTAGAATAAAAAAATCTACTTTCATTTTAAACATTTTGAAACCATAAGAGGGAAATTAAAAGAAAAAAGAAGAAATTTGGATAAATCTGCGCTTTCTTTCTTTTAGAAATTCTATCCTTTCAAATGTAAGAATAGAACACTTATTCAATTTAAATTAACAATTTTATTTACAACATTACCCCTAAACTCTAACCTCTTTTTTTTTTTTAATCATTCATACCAAAAACAAAAAATCCTTGCTTCCTCTTATTTCTTTTTTTTTTTTTCTTTCCTCACAATTTTTCCCCCTCCATTTTTTTCTTTCTTACTAAACAATACTGTAGAAGTAAGCGCTATCTTAATTTCTGACAAGCACGTAATTCTAGCTAAGGAATCATGCCTCTAACTCATAAACCCTCGTGGCAGTGAAGGAAATAAATAGTGATTTATATTTAGTATATATATTGATAAGTTTTTATATTTGATATATTATTAGTGTATAGATTTTATAAATTATTAATAAATCAAATGATATTATTTTATTAGTGAATAAATATTAATCTTTAAAATAAATATAAATTAAAAAAAAATTATTCATTAATGAAGTTCATATTTGAAGAAATATTAGTTTATAAATTTTTATAATATTAGTGAATCATACGATAGTAACTCATTAATTGTAATTTTTTTACAAAAATTAAATTTTTATGTATTTATCTTAAAGATTAATAAAAATTTATGATTAATTATTAATAAAATAATATCATCTGATTAAATAATAATTTATAAAATCTATATACTCATAATACATCAAATATAAACTCTTAATTTTTTTCATCATTATATGTTGTTTGATTTTTTTCAGAACAAGTGGAAGGTGGCCTTTAGAGCATTTAATTCAGCTGTGAATTATGGTTTTCTGGCTTCCGAGGTGTGTAATATTCTGTGAGATCATATGCAAACATACACTACTATTCCCCTTTTGGAAACTCATACCTGGCTGCACTACTACGCGATTGTTTCAGGATGCTGAATTATGATCCCCTGTGTTCCATTTCCGATTCTATTTTTCTACTCTAAATTTTACTCTATGTTTGTAGTTTGATTTCATAAAATGTGAGAATAAATGATTGGTCATTTATTGACTATTTGTTTGATTTGTATATCATTGACGTTTTCAATTGTTTCGCTTTGTTTTCATAAAAATTAATGAATATTAAGAGGTTAAGAACTTTTATTTTATTATAAATATACTTGTAGACATTTATTTTTGTTTGAATTAATCGAAATATAATTCAAATTGTACTCGTGATTTTGATCTGTTTAATTTGAACTAATACAAGTATTGTGATAATGTTTATTGCATATTGAGTTTAGTTATATATTATTTTATTAATTAATCTTAAAAATTAAAAAAAAAAAAAAAAGCAACAAAAGTAAAAAGAAAACAAATTTCAATCGGAACAGCTGAAACCAAGCTGCCCCAAAATTTCAAACTTTGAAAATTTTGCAAAAGTTTTCCGTTAACTTAAAAATTCATCCTTCATCCCAGATTTTCTGAGATTTGGATTCTTATTGACCTCCTATAAATCCAGCCTCTAACCTAGGGAACAAGATAGAGAAGGAGAGCAATTTTTTTAGGCAAAGAGAATTTGAAGCAAAAAGCCCCACTGTTATTCTGCCTACCCAAGATCAAGCATACATAAACGGTAGAGATTTTTTTTAGCATCTACATCCCTTTTTGGGGAACCAGCAAAAATATAAAATTTTTTTAAACCAAAAATAAAAAAATTTGATTTGGCCAATTTGAGATTTTTTTTTTTTTTGTGGGAAATCAAGTTTAACAAAGGTGTCAGGGAGGTTGAAAGGATATTTTTTGATTTTATGGGATTTTTTAAAAAAAATTTTGGGTTATCAAAATATGAAAAATTTAAAATTTTCGATGATCCATTAAATATTTTGGCCACAAAAATTTAGAAAACTGGTCAGAAACTAGGAATTTCATAAATTTTCTGACACTAGTTGAAATTTTCGATAATGACAGGATGGCAGCCAATCGGAATCTGGGTTTCTACAGCAATTGGTAAGAGGGGGCTTTTTCTAGAGAAGAAGCTCTTGGGAGAGGAAAAAGAGGAGAAAGGAAAAAATGAAAAAACAAATTGAAAGGGGGCTTTTTATAACCAACCCAAAATGATGTCACTTTTAGATTAAGAGATTCGAGTCGACTCACATGCCGACTCAACCCATTTGGTAAGTTTTTTTTTTCTGATTTTATTTTATTTTATATTTTTACTATTTTTTAGTTATTTATTTTATATGATTATTATTATTTTTGAAGAAATAAATTATAAAAAAATAAGATTAAAATAGGCAATATGTTTAGTAAAATTTAGAGAAAAATGAATACTTTTTTAAAATATAATTTTTAAGGAAGATTGAATTTTTTTTACAAATATTTCTTAAATATCACCAAAGTGTTAAGATAATTGAAGAAATTATTTTTGCTAAGAATAAAAACTTTAAATAAACTAAAAAATAATGAATTGTTTAAATAAATATTTTAAAATATAATTTTTAAAGAAAATTGAAAGAGTTCAATTTTTTTAATTGTTGCATCTAAAAATATTTTTAGATTTTATTAGAGAGTTGGGATGATCTAAAAATTATCTTTATTACATAAAGATTTATTAAAAAAACAAACAAACAAAAATGAATAAATAAATAATGAAAATAAAATAAATAAAATGCTTATTTAAAAGAATAGTTTGAGTGAAAATTTTTAAGAAAAATTAGAAAAGTCTTATTTTCTTTAGTTATCATCAAGATAAATGATTTTTGGATTCGGCTAAAAAATTAGGATAATCCTAAAATCAATTTTATAAATAAAAAATGAATAAAAATACCTCTAAATGAAATTTTTGAGAATTTTGTTAATGATCAACTTTTTCAAAATTTTTTCAAATAAGGATATTTTTCATGAATTTCACTAAAGCATTGAAAATTTTATAAAATGTTTAAATAATAAATTTAATAAAAAAATCAAAATAAAATTTTTAGTGAATAAACTTTATGAAATAAATTTAAATATTGAAAAGACCATGCTATCAAAATTAAAAGATAACACTTGTTTAATTAATACCGTTCATTGAATGAATTATGTGAGGGTGTTAATAACTTCCTTACTCGTAATCGTATTTTCGGACTCAACTTTAATTTCATAGACTAAAATATTTTTTAATAAATCATAATTAATTTTAAGGTTTTTCTTAAAAAAATATATTTTAAGTATTAATTGCACTTAGTTAAAAAAATTAGTGGAAACTCCATAAATTTTCTTGAAGTTTAGTGATTAAGTCCTAAGAACGAAAAATCATTATAACAATACTTATTTAATTTGAAAATTGAATGAATAAAGTGTAATTATCAATTATTAAATAAATCCAAATAAGTATATTTTATATATAAATTACATCAATTAACAAAAAAAATTAACATAATATCAAATATTATATAACAACAAAGTTTTAATTACAATGAAACAAAAGTTTATACCTATAAGTCTATAAAATAAAGCTCAAGAATTTAATTTTTTATTTTTTGTAAAATTCAATAATTTATTTGCTTTTTATTTTATTCATTTATTAATTTTTAAGTATATTAAAATTAAAATTGAATTAAAAAATTCATTTTTATTAATTTAATAATATGTTGTACAAGATCAAATCCAACCTATTTTTGAATAAAAAAATTTCACTCAACCCTATTGTAAGCTTTGTTGATATCCACCTTTAATGCCATTTCATATTTTCTTCCTTTTTTTTAGCTTTAGGTAATGAAATGTCTTATTGGCCACTAATATGTTGTTTTGAATCTATCTTCTCTCCGCAAATGCACTTTAATTATGAGTAATTAACTCCCCCATATATGGCTTAGTCTGTTAGCCATAACTTTTGCTATAATCATTTATGCAAAATTGCAATAATTTATTAGTGTCATAATGTTTAAGTTTGAAAATCTATCCATTAGACACAAAAATTATAGAATCACCATTAATTTTTTTTTTATCTATTTATGATTAGTCATCTAAATGAATCTACCATTTTTAAGGTTATTTTAATTGTAAACTAAGAGTCCCTAAAAAGAATAAGTTCTACTATATAGCAACAAAACTAAATTCAAGAGTTAGTTATGTGTAAGGAAGGTTTTAACACCCTATTATGCCTAAAAATTAGTTCATAAATAATTACATGTTATCTTGTTTAAACCTTAATTAAAAATTATTTTTGATTAATTTTGATATTTAAATATTGGAAAAAAGTTTGTAGGCTTTCACCAAAAAAAAAATTTTCTTCACCTCAAGAGTATTTAAGATAAACTTATTGTTCACTTGAAGACATTCTGTCGTCGAATTTATTAAATATCTTATGCAAAATCAATTCCAATTCCTTTTATTTATTTACTCAATATTGTCATGCACAAATTCTATCTAAATATCATGCAAAATAAATTATGAAAATATATAAAATATCATACCAAAATCATGCAAAGATCATAATAGAACTATCATGCAAAAAATAAAAAAATGCAAAAATTGTACAAAAATATCAGAATAAATCATGCAAATAAATTAGATCGATGCAAAATATCGTGCAAATATATATTATACTTATTTATGCAGAAAATAAAAATCATGCAAAACAAATCATGAAAAAAAAATCCTATAAATCATGCAAATAAAACTAAAAATCTTATCAAAGTTTTTTCTTTTTTCTTTTTTTGATCACTTTTAAGTCAATCACAATTAAAAAAATAAGTAAGAAAAAAAGATAATAAAAAACAAAAAACCACAAAAAATAAAATAAATCAAAAATAAAAAATAACAAGAAATAAAAAATAAAAACTTACGATTGGGTCAGGTTTCAACGTGGGTCAAAACATAAGCCCTTGAGTCGAAATGTGGGTTAACTCTTCTCCCAAACGACCTTGTTCCACACTACTGTAAAAGCAAAAAAAAACTTCTATTTTTTCAAACCTTCTTTCCTTTTTTTTCTTTTTAAGCTAAAATTCCACTAACTTCTTTCTAAAATAACCCACTGTGAAACAAAAAAAAAAAACCCAATTACCAGCCATAAATCCAAAATTTGGCATAAAAAAAAATTCAAACAATACCAAAAAATTCAACATTTTCCTCAAAAAGCCCTAGCCAATTCCAAAATTTAGTCCAACCGTGCAAACCCTTCAACCACTGTGAACCTCATTGGAAACTAAATCTCCGTAAAAAAATTCAAGGCCAAAACCCAAAAACCTAGAAATTTCAACAAAAAAATCCAAAAATTCTTAGAAAAGCCAAATAAATTCAGAATCCTGAACTTTCTAAAAATACTTCAAAGAAATCAAGGCCCATTCCCAATTCCCAAAACAAAATCCCTAAACCTACTAAGACTTCAATGATCAAAACCCAATTCAAAAAAATCCCAAGACCAAAAATTTTGAATTTAAAGAACCTAGAAAAACTTTGCTTTAACTGCTGTGATTACTTCGCTTTTGTTGTTTCTTGCTTATTGCTTGTGTCTTGTGATCACAAATTAGGGTTTTTCTATAAAAGCAGATTTTGAATTTAATTTGGAAAATTTTTAACTCATTGAATCTAGAATTTCCCTTAAAATTTTATTCATTTTGTAATCTTTCTTTTTGTTTTTCAATAAATTAAGGCTCAAGAATTTCCTTAGGCAATTAACCACTAAATTCCAAAATCTAAAACCAAATCCATAACCGAATCTGTAAAATATCATGCAAATATATAATAAATCACGCAAATAAATTAAACCTTTGCAAAATATCATGTAAATATATATTATAATTATATATATATTAACAGTTGAAATTTTATTATTCTTAAGCAAATAGTTATACTTTTTTAATTAATTTTAAATTTAATTTGCAAGGTTACATTAAGGCACATTTCACAATAAGCCAACTAGCCTTCAACTTGTCTGGGATCATTAAATGCAACTCACACTGGCCTGTAATCATTAAATACAACCTACACTCAC